GGGGTTACCAATACTTTGCTGCTAGAGCAATATTTGATGACTGATTATGCCCACCCCAAAAAAAAATAAATAAATAAAAATAAAAAGAGGATAAATTTTGTAAATTTCCGAAACATGGAAGAAGAGTTTCGTTCACGAAACCAGATGACGACTCCCATAATACGCGACAACACATTGCGCTTAGTCACGCTCACTCCAGAACTGATGGGCCTAAGGTCACAGTGGTATACGCCGGACAAAGTCTAAAGCCAAATAATTTTCGTCTTGGACTTATTTTTTTAAGTATAGAGCTCGATAATGGTTAAGAGGAAAAAATTATGGGAATATATATAAATTTTACAGCTGTTTGGAATGGCGTGCAAATTACCTGTGACAACCTTTTTTCAAAGGTTGTCACAATTGTCTCTAAACATAGTCTAACATAGTCTCTAAATGGTGGCCTATAACAGAATGGAACAAATCCTATTTTTTCCGCTAGTAAAAATCGGCAGAAGCTGGACAGCGAGGATGAAGTTGTTACTTTCAGGTCTTGACATGACGCTTTTCGTCACGTCACGTGACCTGAATTGGAATGTTTTCAAAATGGCCGTCGATTGAGCGTCAAAAAAATTGTAGAAAATTTGTGGAAAATTGTGGAAAACTTTGGCGTCTGTTACCCTTTAAACGGTTTGCTTTTGTCTATGGTCACTTCGATTTTCAATCATCAACACTAGAGCAAATTTGTCAAATCTATTGGTCAATGGAGCAGGTGTCATTACTCATTCCTGTCAAAGATGACAACACCTGGACATACACTGCTTGGACTAGGCAAAACCGCAGTCTCACCGCAGCTTAGCGCGAAGAGATGTGTGAAACAACTCGATAAGTTAACTGCGGAAATTGCATCCTAAAAGACGAAGAGGTGTACTTTAGAGTCAAAAATTCGAAAAAAAAATCTCTGAAGGGAAAAAATGATGACTAGCAATAAATCTATATATGTCAGTCACCCCCATGGAAATCAAACAAATGCAAAATTTGTAATTTAATGACATGCGTGTTTATACCAAGAAGAACAAACAATGGTTTGCCGAAAGTCATATTCAGTTTAAAGATCTCTGAACTCAGCTCAATTGACAGTGCTGCCGAATCAAGCTTGGCTTTCCGAATGGCATCTGCTGAAGTTATTTCCCTGAGCGTTATCAATGTATTTCTCAGCGTTTTTGGATGTGTAATGAACATTTTGGTGGTACTAGCCATTCAACTGAACCCAGAGCTACAAAAAGGTTTAAATTTGTTGATCGTGTCCTTAACAGTTGCCGATCTTGTAAACTGTTTGATTGCACAACCTATGTATGTCTACTATCTTAGCAACAAGGGCGACACAAGCTACCTAGCAGCACTTCACATTGTCGCTTTCATCGGTCTCCATGCGGTTTTCTCCAACCTCATAACGATCACGTATCACAGAATGAAAGCCCTGTCGCGACCTTTATCTCACCTTTTGCTGGTGTCGCAAAGAGATCTCCTCGTATTCATAACAATAACATGGATCGTTTCTATTATAGTTGGTATTGTTTTCGCAACGGAACCAGGAGAAGAGGCTGGTGCCTATGTTCATGGAGTTATGATACTTCTTCTGATTTTAACTTACTTGAGAATGCTGTGGGTCTCGAGACACAAACGCGCAAAAATCGCTCAGGAAGCGGGGACAGCCAATTACCACCAACAAGCGGCCACCATGGAGCATGAAAACGCCGCTGCGATAACGTCAGCTATTTTGGTAGGCACCACATTGCTATGCTACCTGCCTGATGTCCTTCTGGACTTTATGGGGAAAGGGGAAGAAACCAGGTTGATGGGAACTTACACCCTGTTGTTTTCTAGTTCGGCACTGAATCCCTGTATAGTAATATGGCGTAATCAACTGTTTAGAAGAGCGCTGCTTCAAACACTTCGCCTTAGGGACTGAACGGGTAAAGTAGATATAGGAAGTGCAATTTCGTGAGGTTAACAAATTAGATTTCTAATTCCCTGATTCGGAGGAGGAGTGTGTATCATGAAAATAAAGGGTACACATATAAAGATTGAAAGTTTTTTTTTCGATAGGCGTTAAATGAATACTTATCTAGTCGTTACCAGCTTAATCTTGCGGAGAGCATGAGCAAACTTTTACGGTTAGCAGGAGACGCTTGATGACTTATTTCATAAAAGTTGTTTCCGAAAAAGCAAAACCGTGCGTATTTTAGACAGCTGTTAGAAGACAAAATGAAGCTGGCGTTCTAAGCGCAATATAGACAAGCTGTTTGCTGGCTTTTTTTTTCATTTTTTTCAGAGAAAAGATATTTGACTCCTTTCCAAATGTTGCTCGCATTTGGCCATCTTATGAGAAAAACGTGCAATGTTCCACTGTTTTAGTTTTGTTGATCACAGTTAAAGCTGCCTTATTATTATTAAAACTGCCAAACCGTCAATCACTTCGAGCGGAAGCGACGCGAACAGATCAAGTATTATGCATATATCGACGCCAAATTAAAAGCCTAAAGAAAAATTATTTTAAAGCGTCAATATCATTTCTTTTATTTTCCGAAATTCATCATAGGTTTTGTTCCCTTTTAGTAATCGATTTAAAACATTCTATTGCTCTCTTCCCGGCAATAATTTCACGGTTAATATCGAGTCCGTGGCTTTGTAAAAGAGTCTGTTTGTTTTCATACCGGAATGAAAGCTCGGGTTCTGTTTCATTCTTGAATACGAAATTGAATAAGAAATGACTGAATTTTACAAAAATCTCCGAAGTTCTGAAGTGCTTTTTTACTTTTTGATTCATTAAAATGATCTGTCGGTAATTTATCAAGTTAAGTTTATTACATTGTCGTGCATCTTAAGATTCCGACTTTTTCTATTCGCCTTATTTCTTCACAATGGATCTTATTCGTGCCCTGCGCTAATCTTCCAACGTGGAATATCCGATGCATTCTCTCCTTAGAAATTAAGGATGCATAACGCCGTGCTCAAAAAGTCGGGAAAAAGCACGACTTCGTCTCGTGTTTCGCCATTTACTTCTTTCGTGCCCAAGCTGCTCCTGCGTGCTTTCCAACAGAACAGAGCACAGTCGCGGCTTATTTCATTATCAGTTAAATATTCTGCACTCGATAGTAATGATTACCAATCCTATTTGCTGATAGTAATGATTAACAAACTATTTGCCTTCAGGCGATTGTTTTAAGCGTTTCAGTTTCCGGCAATAGAAGTGATAAAGTACTTAGTATTTATTAAGTAGCTGAAGGCGTTTCCACCGTTTCTACGCAACTCAACCCAAACATTGTAAAATATTATTTCCCGCTGTAAAAATTAAAGTTGTAATGCACTTGTTCTGCTCTTGTTCATGCTCTTGATGTCCTTTTGCTGTTTGAACCACCGTCTTGTTTTGAGCCACCGACCCCATTTATTATTATCATTATTATTATCATTACTATTATTATCATTATCATTATTATAATTGTCATCATTGCCTAGGGTTAGGGTTGAACATTGTTTTTATATGAAAGCTGAGTGTCGGGCTGCCTTATTGCTCATTTCCCTTAGGTCCGGATTCAATCATTCGTTTATGCATTAATAAGAAGGAAAGCCTGAGGTGTAAATCAAAGAAGTTATGGAAAAAACGGGAATTGCGAGTCATACAAGATTTGTAAAGATGACAAGGCCCAAACTAAACACGACCTAGTCAACTTCTAGATAGTCGATGCAAAAATGTTTCGTTCTTTAAAGCATGATGTTATCTCTCTGACTTCAACATGGCAATCTATGCGATACTGGTATTTAAAAGTGGGCACCAATAAAAACGAACGCAAGGACTCCCAATTCAGTAAAAAGAATTGATTGAGAAGTTGAGTTTGTATGGCCTGATTATCCTCAAACCCTAGACTGCATTACTGCAATATTTGCGCGACAATTATGGTGCAATTCAACCGTCGAGTATAATGGTTCGATGTGCTTAAAAATCTTCCTCTATAGATCGACGTTTGACATCGAAAATCATCACAACAGTTCGTTGATCGACAGTTATGATTTCATTAAATAGAGAGTTACGAGGTACTTCCAACAAAATGCTGAACGCATACATTAGCTTGCAGATTATTTTACAAAATAAAACTGGTCACCTTCTTATAAATTTTAAACCTAAAAAGGCATTTCAAGCGCACGAAAGTAGGTTACTTGCTATTTGTGCGCGATGCATCACTTTTGCCATCGATTGCTTTCTACACTTCACATCAAATGTTCAATCAGTAACCTTCTCATAAGAGCGAACTTAAATACAAAAGCCTTACACATATAGACAACATACGAAGGCAGTACGTTAATCATACCTAGCGAACAGGAAATTATGTTCTCCGCGCTACCCTTTACAAGATGATCCTGAAATAATAAAGAATATTTTGCTTTATCGCTTAGAGTAAGCATTTCACCTCAACAAGCCTCTATTGACATTAGAATATCAACTGAGGATCACCTCCTAATTCTCCACAAAAAGTTATTGGAGAATTTGGATTGAGCGTCGTGAAACAAAGACTAGTATAAGATCGATAACCAATCAATACAAAGGATAAGATATCACAAGAAGACGGATGGTGGGGAGCGGGAGTTAAGCTACAAACAAGCAAACGCGTAAAAAACCAGTGAAAAAGTCACGGTTTACTTACGTTTGGTATCCGATTGGTTGAAAGGGTGGTGCGGATTTTCTGGACCAATCACGGAGTTAAGTAAACCAAAACCAGTGTAATCATAGATTACTTAAGACAATTAAAAATACTCAAAACTAAATAAAACCTCAACATGTCACAACTGGCATAAAACAGATTAAAGTACGTTAAAATACAGAGCAGTCGGCGTCAGATTGAATCCCAATCTCAAGTCGAAAGTCGCACTGATCTTAGAGTGTAAATCCAATCTAACACATGGGATTTGCACAAGTTGTTTGCCTGAGTATAATCAATGCTGTTCTCAGTATATTTGGCACTTGTATGACTATTTCGTTGATCGTGACGATTTACCAAAACCCAGAGCTTCAAAAGGGCTTGAATTTGCTCATCGTCTCTCTGACAGTTGCAGATCTTGCCAACTGCCTGATTGCACAACCAGTGTACATATACTACCTTAGCAACGAGACCAGCACCAGCTACTTGACCGCCTTTCAGATTATTGCGTTCATTGGCCTCCACGCAGTTTTCCTCAACCTTACGACAATAACTTATCACAGGATGAAGGCTTTGGCAAGGCCTTTCCATCATCTTCTTTCGGTGTCGCAGAACAGTCTTCTCGTGTACATAGGGTTGACGTGGGTTTTTTCCATAATAGCTGGGGTTACCCTCGCAACAGAACCAGGAAAAGTTGCTGGTCCTTACGTCCACGGTTTGATGATACTTCTTCTGATTTTTACTTACATTAGAATCCTGTGGGTGTCCTGGAAACGACGTCGAGGAAAAATTTTGGCACAGGCGAGAACAGCCAATTACCATCAACAAGTCGCCACCATGGAACAAGAAAATGCAACGGCATTGACCTCTGCTATCTTAGTTGGCTCTACCTTAGTATGCTTTTTGCCCGATGTGGTACTCGATTTGATGGGAAAAGGAGAAGAAAACCGACTGAAATGGGCTTACACACTTCTATTTGCTAGTTCCGCGATGAATCCTTGCGTAATCGTATGGCGCAATCAGCAGTTTAGAAGAACTTTGCTTCGAATGGTACACCTTGCAAAGTGAATTTTCAATAACTGCTTACTCTGAGCATCATTGAAAAATAAGAACATGACAGTATTCAGTAATCTTCTACCAATTGGTGAAAGAGATGAATTAGTGAAAATAGTTCGATGGTGGCAGTTTTAAGAAAGGAAATTTTTAACTACAGGTACGTATTCAAAGATAAATATAGGTTTTCATTTTTGTTTTTGGAAAGTTAGTTAAAGCACAAACGTTAGGGCAGGTGCCTCCCGATCATGGAAAATTTTTATTGTGAGACCATCACTTGGAATACCTGATAATGCTTAAGTCTATAAAATCATTTCTGTCGATAAGCGATCTGGGACGTAATACTTTAATCCTAAGAGGAATAATTTAAAATGCAGCAAGTAACTAATTCAGACGGCTAAACTGCACGATAATCGCACCAAAATTTTGAAGGAAAAAATTTCTTTATTATATTTGCGTACAACTTTCGCTGAGATGATTTGGTAAACAAGAACCAGGACTACAATCCAAAAAGGTTACGGCTTGTATTCATCAAGGAACACTTTGTAAATCGAACTTAGCTGAAAATAAATTCTAATATAGCTAGATCAGGTTCAACAAAAATGTTTGTGTTATAATCTGGCTTCGAAAAGATTGCGAGATATTTCGAGATCGACCAGCTGTCTGCCAAAATGCAAAAATGGTTTAGCTTCTAAGCTATTTATATGCTATTTGGAAAATTTGAAACAAAAAAAAATTGCTACGGAGAATTAATATTGCACCGAAACCTTATACCATGTGTCTAAAATCTGTGTAAATAACCTTAGCTTTCTGATAACAAAAATTAAACTCATAAAAATCAAAATGGTATTGGTGAGTAGTTCAGTTCTTCTTTGAGTGTAATTTTGTCTTTACAGTGTAAATATCAGCTCTCGCATTTGTGATAACAAATTAATGGAACCTCACTGACATTTGAATTCCTCTTAAAAGTGGCCATCTGCATAAACAATTTTCACAGATGAACAAAAGGGCTTTCCCTTTGGTTTCTTAGTGATGATTTGCAAAGCAAGACTTAAAACTTGTAAAAGTGCTATGACTCAGGCGTGATTGACATGATACTATGATCAATTATTTTAATGAAGTTTGACCTACCTTTGGGAATCCCGTCGTTAAACTAATGTTTTATACTGCGAATACCGATTGTCCTTAAAAGTCTAAACACCCGGCGATATCGGAACAACATACAGTTAGAACTGTCCAGCGGTGGCAATAGCCGCTGTTTTACGGAAGTTTCAAAGCTAGTCTTTTCAACTGGACAAACTACTCCGCAACAGTTGGTCTACGACGGATTATACATGTGCGGCAAGTGCGGCAAATGCGGCCTCTAAGACAGTTGAACCCATGAAAGGGTAATAAAAAAGCGAGTGTTTTCGATTTCAGATTCACTTCAAAAGGGAACGGTCATTGAATCCGGAAAAATGATGCAAAGTTAATTTCCTAAAAAATCATTTAATAGGTGGTGTACCGGTGACAACTGAAAATGCTGCAAGTTCTAATTGCTTTTCGGATTCATTAGATTTGAAAGAGTTATTGTCGAGAGTTTCTTTTATTTTGATTAAGAAAGTCGTTGTTCCCATGCCTCAACTTGTTTCGTTCTTGATTAACTATCGTGTCCTTCGTTTTTTCGTTTCTTCATTTCATTTCCTCATTTGTGCCTTCTCAAGTCTTTTTTCTAAAAATTGTTTATACATCGCATTTAGAAGCTATAATAAGACAAAACACTTCGTGATCAAAATGCGCATAGAAATAACTCAACACTTACTAGTTTTCCTGGTAAGACATTTCAAACCACTGAGGTTCGGTACCGTTTAAATGTATTTTAAAAATCGCTTGGCCGCTCTCAATAGAGATTTAGAGATGAAAAATGGCCAACTTAAAACTTGTCATTATCACTAACCATATGAAGTAGGACGAAATTGTTTTACTGGCACTTACCTAGTCATTAGCGGACCGATAGACATTGCTCAACAAGTGTAATTGCGTCCCAAAGCTGAACGGTGTATTATCTTTTATGCCTAAAAGGTTGTTAAAGTAGTTTAAAAGCCACCTGTAAATTTATACTAGAGTCAGCTTTAATTAAACTTTCGGCGTTTATAATAACAACATTTAGATCCATCCACCTGATAAAATAGGGTCATTACTTTGCATCGACTAATTTCTGTTCAAAATGAGGGAGAGCAATGACAAAATAGTTTCCAGTAGCCTTTCATACGAGTTTCCTCTGTTTCTAGCGGCGCTTTGAATTTGGTCTTAAACTAATCCGGTTGAACAGTAAGCAACAAGGGAATTACTAGCCGACAAAGGCTACAAACAGCTAGAAGCGGACGAAAAAACAAAGACCAGGCTTAAGATTTTCTCCCCTACACGTAAGAGTAAGAGGTCTTAAATTACGTCTGCTGATCCGCCCACTTGCACTTAGGAGTCTCAAATGGCTTTTACGCGTATTCAAGGGCTTGATAAATTAATGATTTTCATGATTACGAGTGAGATAGCTAGTATTTCGAGGCAAGCGTTTCTAAAGGTGGTCATGAGTGCTATGCAAATCACCGATTAGTGCTTAGGGTGTACTCAGTGGAAGCGGCCTCCAATTTTAAAAAAAAGTAATAGCCATGCAATTCGTAGATCAGACTTGGAAACACGCTGCCATGAGAGTGCGCTCAAAATTATGCTTGCTTCAAACGGAAATCGTTTCATTTGCCAAAAAGACAAATCTGTAGCTTTGAGAATAAAATAAGTGAATTATTACGTATAAATGCGAAATCTTCGTTTAACACCAAAGTGACAGCTACGTTTTACTGAGATGTATTACTGATTCCGGTTGGTGGATCGGTTTAAAAGTCCTCGAGAGTAGAGAAATTGACTAGATAAAATTTGAACGCTAAAAATTACTTTTCGATTACGATGTCAAAATGAAAAAACCAATCTGCTGGTTTGCCCGCCTCCGCTTCGATTTCTTGGTGTTTAAATTTAGATCACCACTTGGTCAGCTATTCTCTCAAGGCCTTTATGAAATTAGATCAGTTTGAGTTTTCGGTTAGTTATCAGCGTTCGTTATTAACAAAATATTCCTTAAAATATGTATCTGCATACCGGATATAACCATGCAAAACATCACACATTTATTTAGATAATAACTTTCAATATACTGCTAGATGCCCATGATGCAGGTCACAAAGAAAATGATATGAATGGCCTTAGCCTGAGTAAATTATATTTTACCATTTCATTAACGTTCTTCACGCAAAGAATGTATAACTTTTCTTTGCCAGATTAAAAATATTCCGACGTCTTTGGATTTGATATCTTACGGTCAATTGATACTCACATCCTATTCTTTGTTCAAATTCTACCTCAAGTAAATTCTTGTTCAAACAAATGTTTAGTAGAGGTTACAAGTACACAGTATGCCATCATTTTGTTTTCATGATCCGAACAACATTTTTCCATAAAACTGAACAAACGACACCAGATAGATCAGAAAGGCCTATAACCTCCCTTTACCTCGTAAAGCAACGGGAGCTTGCTCCAATGTAAGGTTACTCTGATTTTATGGAAACCCCTAGCGGTGCAACTCTGCTTAAAGACGATAAGTAGCTTACAAATTGCCTACGGGACTCGGCGGTAAGAGATCTGACATATTTGATGTGGAAGATCCTTTGCCGCTCATAAATAACATCCACTGTTCCACTTACAAAGGAAATCAGAATGATATATTTAAATCTTGAGAAAATTTAGAGGGATACTGTTTTCTATTCAACTAGGAATAATCATCTGAGTGAACCGTGAGAACAGATTTTAGTTCGCACTAATGAAGGTTTTAAAAAATGTCTCTTTGGGTCGTTTTCTCATTTAAGTCTTAATCAAATATGCACTGCTTAAAAATCTTTCCACAGCCAATCGAATTCTGACATTTGACAACCACATACTCTACTGGAACCCGGAATACAAATGCAAATTTGATAAACATTAACATAGGTTTACATCAAATACAAAACATCTCTGGTAATTTTTAATTTAACAAACCGAAAAGAAACAGTTTACAGAATGTGAGAATAAAGGAGTGGAGTCAGAACTAGTACGTGGCAATTCAAAAGTAAGCATGACTTTTATAACTCTCATTTTTGCTATACCTTGTTGATGACTAAGCGCATTTATCAGTTCCAGTTCAAAAATACTACGATTGATCATTTATCATAGGCTGTATTCTCTCTTTAACAAGTCAGACGTCTTAAAATGATCTATGGATTTCCAAAGCATTGAAGTCTCTTTTTCCCTTTTTTGATATTTGGGCGATTGTGAAATACATTTCCAAGTAAAGGGAATCCTTTTGTTTGTTATGTTGGCTTGGTTTCTTTTGGTCCCCAAACACCTCATAATATTTCAAAACTTATGCTTCAGTTTGACATACTGTGGCTAGCCATAAACAAAGCCTTTTTTTCTTCTTTACATAAAGTTAGCAGTTACTAAATGATTATTTCTCTGCCGGAAACAATTCCTAATCCAGGATACCCACGAATAAAACAATATTTACAGAATAAGAAACATTTAATAAACAAAGGAAAACCTACAGGAAAATCTTTCCGTGGACTGATCGAACATTTAACTTTGCAAAATCTCTCATTAATCTCCGAATTTTATACCGAGAAAAATAATTCCTAGTTCTTTAAGAGACCAAGAACACACAGTAATTAATCTAAGAAACTGTTTCCTCGACCACCTCATTTCAGGGTTGAATTTACATGTTGGCAGCTGCTTTTCAATTTATGTATCTCCGATTTTACGCCAAGAGGTGAGAAACGCGCCTGTAAAACTAAGAAATAAACGTTTCTTAGTTTCATAGCTTAGCTCGTGGATTGCAAAGGACCAGATTTTAACATTTTAAAAACTCTCTACCTCATCCATAATTCATGCAAGATCTGCCCTCAATCACCACGTAAAATAAACACTACCTCGTCTTCATTTTCATGTTTTGTTTT